GGTCCTCCTAACAGGACAGATAGCATTGTCAGTAAAGACAAGGGAGATGGGAGTGGACATATCCTGTTCCTTTGTCGTCATCTGACAGTCATATCCAACCCCAAGCGGTGCGGCTGCTGGCAAGAACTCAGAAAATCTTACTGCCGAAAATTTCGTTTTCTCGGGACCTATTGCCCTGAAATTTATAGCGGTTATAAGAAAAGGAGCAGACTATCAGTATAAAGCATTTACAAGATGTGCAAACCACTATTTTCGCGTGGAGTTTATAAGGAAGCTCGCTGTTTCCTATTGCCTTCTGGAGACTGCTCCTGAAATGAAATTGATTTCGGTCGATTATCTTAGGGTTCCTTGTGATAAAGAGATGTATTTTAAGTTTAGCGATGATATCCATTTAAGCATTCAAGAAGTCAAGATAGGCGAACGAAAGTTTTCGATTAATTCATCATCAGGCCTGTACTGGACTTTAATGCGATTTTGTCAGGTCTGACCGACGTCTAGAGTATTCCGTACTTTCTACTCACTTTTCATCTTCTTATTTGCGTACTACGTTACGGACTAAAGGCACTCACATTCAGTGCACTAAAACTGCAAGCGCTTCCTAATTGCGTTCTGAAGTACGCTTTGCTAACATAACGAGATTTAAAATTGATTTAAATGCATTCTAAGCTCTTCATGTTTGATTAAAGCATAGATGTCCGTCAAACTCTTGCTCACCAGACAAACTTGACCTTTTGAACAGCCAGCGTCCGCGAGGGGAATCGGCATTCGGCTCCTCAGCAAATGGTCCTATGTGCCAAAGAAACGTCCCTACATTGTACAGAAGTGAGTTTGACTCTGCTTTTCTCCTAGCCAGACCTTTAGTTGTTATTTAAACGCCTTCGCAGACTGCATCTCTATGTCCTCCGCTAATTCAACTCGCTGTCAAAGAAACTTTTAAATGCTTCATAGTTTTTTTTTCTTTTCCTACTCCTTAAGCTGAACATTCTTTCACTTAGTATGGTTCCGTCATAGCAGGGTTCGAAATCTATGTGCAAGCGTGCACATCTTCTTTCCTTGCTCACCAAGACATTTTTTGTGGTCGGTGTTTTTCCGCGTAAGCAGGCAGAAGAGGTCGGAGTGGAATACACTCGTTCCTCCTTACTGCGAACCGTTAAGTAACATGGGAACATGATTACAGTAGTCGGCGACTTTTATTTTATTTTACGAAAATCGCATTTCAAGTGCTATCAACCTGAATCTACCTTTTTTACTCTGCTTAAATGTGTAGCGGTCTATGTAGTGGTTGTGCCTAGATCACTACAGTCATCAGGTCGAATCCCAGGTTGGAGGGAAAAGGCAAGAGTCACCAGAATGGAGAGTTTATTGTATACAGAACTCCCAGTTGCAGTCTCAGGTGGCAGTGACCACTGACGAAGCCAGGGCTGGTCCTA